CTTTCTTTATCGTTGTTGCACTTCAATACACAGTCACAGTCCAGCCTTTGTCTTTTGATATTTGCGTGCTTTACTAAATCGGAAGGTACGACGAGCAGATAGGCAGATTAGTTCAGGCGCAGACAGAATAAGGTGAAAACGTCTTCATTCAATTCCCTACAGTTATAACAAATTGGCGACGGGGTTTTACCTTAATTCATTGCAGTTATAGCAAGCAAACGACGACAGTTTTTATTCTGTTCAGCGCAACTATATAACATTTTTGACTGTGTTAATTACAACCCAATTACAATGTCTATCTCTCTGGACGATCTCAAATCTATCTTGCAGCAGCAGCAAGTTCAGAATGAAGCAGCTCAACTAAAATTAATCGAAGCTCTCACTCAGAAGCTGTCCATTCAAGTTCCATCAACATCTCATTCTGACAAATATGAAAGCATCTCAAATTCCATCAGTGAGTTCAACTACGACCCAATATCTGGTCTCGTATTTGATGCATGGTTCAATCGTTACGAAGACGTTTTCCGTATTGAATGCTACATGTTTGATGATGCTGCCAAAGTCCGATTGTTACTAAGAAAACTTGGTACTGTTGAGCACAACAGATATGTTAACTTCATTCTGCCCAAGAACCCACGTGAGTTATCATTCGATGAGACAGTCACCGTTTTATCACAAATCTTTGGTGAACAGTCATCCATGTTTAATATTCGGTATCAATGTTTTCAGTTGACAAAAATGCCTTCCGATGATTATGTCACTTACGCTGGCAAAGTGAACAAGGAATGTGAAAGGTTCAAACCACACGAAATGACATCAGATCAGTTCAAGTGTTTGATTTTTATTTGTGGGTTGAAGAACCCAGAAGATACTGACATACGAACTCGACTTCTGTCACTTGTGGAACAAGACCCGAAAATGACTTTACAAATGGTGACAGCAGAATGCCTACGTTTAATCAACTTGAAGCACGATACTGCTATGGTGGAGTGCAAACGACAGTCGTCTGAATTTGGTTCGATTAACACAGTGAAAAGTCCTCCGATCACCGTTAAGCACACAGAACGTCAGTCTCAAAATTCAGCTAAACCTCCTTCAGTGTGCTGGCACTGTGGTTCGTGGCATTTTGTCAAGTTCTGTCCTTTCAAGAAGCATAAATGCCGTAATTGTCACCGTTTTGGACATAAGGAGGGTTACTGTACACCGCAGAAAAATTCTTCGGTGAGGAACAGAAGTAGTCGTTTCAAGCCGAAACAATCTCCTCGAGTACAGACCGTTTTCACTACTTCCAAAGTCGAGTTCGCCAGCAAACGTAAGTACATAACACTAGATATTAACGGCAAACGTATTCGTCTTCAGTTGGATACGGCATCAGATATCACCGTAATTTCCCGAACTACGTGGCGCAAACTTGGTTGCCCACAGATTCTGCCGACCGAGCATGTCGCCAAGAATGTCTCTGGAGATATACTGAAACTCGTGGGTGAGATCAATTGCCAGGTTCAGTTTGGTGAGCATCACTTCAATGGTGTATGTTACGTTACAAACTACCATGATTTGGATTTGCTTGGTCTTGACTGGTTAGACAAGCTCCATATCTTTAATGTACCATTAAATTCAGTATGCTCTAATGTTTCGTCTTCACCACACAACGTTGTTCCCGGAGATGTATCTGATCAATCTCTCTTGCAACGCCGTCGTCAAAAGCACGCTTCTGTCTTCCAGGACAAACTTGGTTGCTGCAAACTGTTTGGCATCCAGCATATTCGTAGCCCCCCGTATCATCCCCAATCGAATGGACAGACTGAACGTTTCGTCGACACCCTTAAGCGTGCTTATGCAAAAGCGAAGGGGGAGGGAACAACAGAAGAAATTTTGGATAAATTCTTGCTGCATTATCGTACGAATGAAAAAGGACAGTTATGTGTCAGACACACAGATCACGCTCTATCCAGTACCACGCAAAGGTCAACTCGACAAAGAAGAGCTCCGAAACCTTTTCAAATAGATCCAAAAAGCAAGTCCTACACTCTTTACGGGGGAGGTGATAGGATCCCACATATTTTGGTATTGACTGTTTAATTTTGCATATATGGTATATTATCATTCTCACACATTTTGGTAGTGACTGCTAATTTTGTATATATGGTATATTATCATTCTCACACATTTTGGTAGTGACTGTAATTTGTATATATGGTATATTATCATTCTCACACATTTTGGTAGTGACTGCTAATTTTGTATATATGGTATATTATCATTCCCACACATTTTGTTACTGACTGTCAACCTCGCACATATGGTATATTATCACCTCTCACGCACTTTGTTATTGGCTATTAAGATAAATTATTTCAAATGCTGTTAGCTGTCCATATTGTTGTAAAATGTATAAATACCATGGCTTTCTTTATCGTTGTTGCACTTCAATACACAGTCACAGTCCAACCTTTGTCTTTTGATATTTGCGTGCTTTACTAAATCGGAAGGTACGACAAGCAGATAGGCAGATTAGTTCAGGCGCAGACAGAGCAAGGTGAAAACATCTTCATTCAATTCCCTACAGTTATAACATACGTCTTGCTGACTGACTGGTGAGTGCCCACTAGCACGAAACCTAGGTCCAAGGCTTCCTGTGGCCGATTGCCTCCAAGCGTCTAATACCATCAAATCAATCTGCACCGTGATGGCGAGCTAGCTAGAATGATGGTCGCATTACAACCTGACTGATAGAATTCAATCTACAGCAATCAGAGGACTAGACGCGTGACACTAGTTACTAATGTCAAATCAAAAGATGAATAGTATCACCATTGAAATAGTTGATAGGTGAATATTTTCATGAAAATGACGGTGCCTACTTACAAATATTTAAGTAGCTTAAATCATTTTGAAGAATTTAAATCACAGATGGTAAAATTACGTCAAAATTGTTGTGATCAAGCCTACATTAACTAGAGAGAGTTGGAAACATAGATATATAGCCTACTTCTCTAGGCACACAATTCACAGTCACTCAGTTATTCATTCATATATATATGTATTCAAATCATTTCACTTATGGAAAGAGCAAGGCTTGCTCAAGAGGACATTAGCCTGTGATATATATTTTTGATTAATATTGTGAGCGAATTTTCTTTCCAGCTTAGTTAAATGTAAAAGATATGTCAGCACATGTACACAGGCTAAAATGCAACGATTTCACGAGGAAATGACATTAATGAGAACGGCTGGAAAATAAGGAAGACTGGACAACTATTTCGTCCTAGTTGGGGACTTTTCAGCTGCAGTGTGCACCGATAACTCCGCCCAGAAACCAACGCAAGACTTTGAGGTCATGAGGTTAGCCCCATGACTATTCAGCTGTTAGATTTTTATTCTAATTCTAATGCTTATCGATAATAATAACAATTATTTAAAAATTGAAAAATGAGGTGACTGTCGAATAATAATAATAATTTGCTTTATTGAATTGAATTTTTGATTTTCCCGTCGATTGATTGGACCGAAGTGCTCGGTCTCAGGTTGACATGTAGGCTTCTTGTGCAGATGCTTCGACGATGTCCGGGCATTTAGTTAGTATACAATATACTGCTAGCCACCATCCCCACCAATTGTATACTAAATAATTTGCTTTATCCAATACAGTACTTGTGATACAGAATGGAATTCTCAGCATTTCACTACAGTATTGCATCCAGTTAGTACACTATCAATAAATAAAATTCTACATAGATTAACGGTAATCTCAGTTAGTTTTGACAACATATTAGCATGTCGGTAGCAAAGCCAAAAATTAGACAGTGTTTGAAGGTGCTAGAAAAGTGAGTTCTAGGATATTTACTGGCGTAAGGAGAAGAAAGAAACAAAGCTGCATATAACAGAGAAAAGAGAGAGAGAGAAAAGGAAAAGAGAGAAAGAAAATGCTGTACCTATAAATGATATCAGTTGGAAAGACGAGATCCAGTTGTTCTACTGACTATTTAATAAGCATTAGGTATCACGCTTAATGCTTTCTTTATCGCACAGAACACGAGCTAAGTAGGGTATGGTTGAGTTTTTTACTTACTAGTGCGAGCACATAGTTTTCTATATAGGCTTCTGGTTTTGACTGATGAGATACAAGGGGCGAGTTGTGAATGAAGAGGGTGGTGTTGTGAGTTAGATAGAATGGATTTAACCCATTTTTCACATGAGTCCAAGTGCCTGTCAACTAGAATATTAACAAGCTGGTTAAGTGGCACGTTGCTTACCCTGTTGACAACCTTTAACATCCTGCGTAATAAGGTATAGTCTTTCTTCAGTAGCCAGCCCAGGAAAAACTAAGGGGGAACAATAGAGAATAATAGGCAGAATAATAATAATAATACGGGAGTTAACAAATTGTAGGAGTAAGGGTTGGGTTTTACCAGAATGTCTTAACTTCTTGATGTAGAAGGTAAGACAGGATATTTTCTTAGAAATCATCATCAAGACATGAGACGACCAGGAAAGATCAGCAGATAGAATGACGCCTAGGTATTTAATTTCCGACTTGGAATCACATATTGAAGGAAAAATGTCCAGGCAGAAAGAATTATCAGCAGGAATCCATGGAAAAAATTAACCAAGAACTTATTACCCAACAAATATGCAGGAGAAAATAGAAATGGATTAGACAAAACACGTCAACGAGGAGACCGTCGAATGATGCCGTGAGCCAGGCAGGCATAACCTCGAGTAGTAACCGGGGTGGGGGGAGGGGAAACGACGAATGAGGTGTGGCTTCAAGGGTGATATGGAAGATATTGAGCAAGTAGGAGATGAGAGAGCTTACATTGAGCTCAGCTTAAGTGGACCTCAGAGAATACGGCAGAGTGAAGATGGGTTGTTGAAGCCCTATGTGCTCTACGGAAGCCAAAGGAACAATAATAAGTAATAATAATAATAATTATAATATAGGAATAAAAAAATATTTTCTAGTTTTAACCATAACAAAGAATGCACAAATCACTTACTCATTCGTAAACTTGGTACACGTTGTGTTGACCTGATATGTGTACAGAAACAAAAGAAAATACAAAAACAAAGCTCATTTTATAATATATATACATATATATATCTTCTTTTTGAATACAGCTTAATTCCACACTGTATTTCTTGGTACAAGTATGAAATTTTCAGCATGTGATATCGGTAGCCCAAATTTTGCAGGCCGACCATAGATATCAGGTGTGCGTTGGCAAGGGGGATCTAACCCCGGACCATGTGCACGGTCGGCGAGAGTCCTAACCACTGTGCCACCGACGCACAAGTTTTCCAATTGATGAACTTTGACCTTCTCAAGTTACCATGTTGACACTGTTTATTAGATTTTTCTGTTTTCTGTCTTCTCTCACCCCCCTTTTTTCCTTTTTTCGTAGTTTGATAATATAAATATAAATTATAACGAATGATAATAATAACAGCTTGAAGGTGAGGCAGTAACTCATCCAAGAATAATACACTGTGAAGTGATCGCACTATGTCATGCATTGGTAGAAGTAAGAATTCATGCATTCGCCATTGAATCAGCTCCCAATGCCTTAGTGGTCTACGAGCTCGCTAGCCTTGTAACCAGAAGATTCTGCCTTGAAACCACAATATGTGCACACTGATGAGGAACTCCAAACTAGTGGGACGACACAGCTGTCCAGTACTCCCTGTGGCTGGTTTTCCAATGGTTCTGTAACTGACATCAGCTCATGATGAAATCCTCCAAACAATCAAACCGAAAATAATCCCTACAAAACCAATACTCGAGAATTGTAATAATAAGCAAAGGAAAGAACCAAGAGGAATAAGGGGAAAAAGCGCTTTTGGTGCGAAGAAGAATTGTTAATCCAAGTTCGGTCACGGTAAGAAGAGTGTCTAGACGTGCTTATTTCAGATGCTACGTTCCGGTTTAGTCGATCTTATTGCAACAGCTTCAGTTCCCCGACGATTGTATCACTGGAACACATCCTTCTTGTCATGTTGACACTGTTTATTAGATTTTTTTCTGTTTTCTGTCTTCTCTCATCCGCCACCCCCCCTATTTTTCTTTTCTCATAGTTTGATAGTATATAAATTGATGGTGACTTAAACTAAAAAATAATTGTAATACTTATATTCCAGATGTCTTCACCTTGTATAATGTTTTCTCTATTACTTTTCAAACAATGAAGTATGAAATGTCATTATTTGTGACCATTGTAATTCCAGGTAGTCTGCAGCAGTAGCTAATGAGGAAAACCTGTGACATAGAATGATGATATCACATTTTATCCTGTAAATCTGGTCTTCCTTTCTCTATCGAAATTGTCTCTATTCCATCAGTCGTTATCCTTTCAGCTGAATACAGCCTAGATAATGGAATCTAATAGTTCTATTACAGTCTTAACATAGCTCTTTAATTCATTGGAGATCATAATAATAATAATAATAATAACAGCCTTATTCTGAATAATGTTTATTTGCAATTATTCGGTCAAATCTTGATCACAGTTCATATGAATGTTTATTATAAAGCACAGAATTTCCACCGGACTCTTTATTGTATGATATTTTCTCTCCGTCCAGGATGTTCAAGTGTAACATTAATTGACAGTAAGTAGCGGGAAAAACAGTTCTATCTGACGTGAATTGTAGACCATGGTGGTGTGGGTGAGTACTGCAGAAGAGTCCCACAAAAGGAGGATGAAATAGATGGCGAGTACTCCTAGACTGGACTACATCTACTCACTCCTAGTTTAAAGGTAGGACGTGAAGTGGCTAATGGAGAATGTTCATCACTTCACCTTTTCGGGTTAGTTGCGTCTGCTAGTGCAAACGGGTTGGATGTCTAACGAAATCTCTCAGGACGGATACAGAAGGCTCGTTTGGCATAGGCCAAATAACGCCGTCTCTGGCTGAGGATACGTGATAACCGGCTAGCTGTCGATCAAAAGACGTGTGTACTGTTCAACATTTTTGCTCCATCTGACTTTATGGCTGTGAGTGAAATATAGTCATTGAAAGTGGAAGACGTGGAAATCCTCTCTAGCTGTCTTTGATCATAGATGTCTGCGAGTAACAGTCCTCTTGCTTGACCTGGTGGTGAACCTTGCTAGTTACGGCCTCTTACTATTAGATATCAGTAGTTAGGTTGCATTAAGCCAAAGAGTCTATATATATATATATATATATATATATATATATATATATATGAAAGATGGCACAGAAGAAGTGTATATAGAAAACCTACATCAACTAACTGTCAGTATACTCATTTTCTCACAGCTTCGTGACCTTGAAATACAAACGCAATCTGATAAAGTGCTTGGTTCACAGAGCAAGAGCAATTTGCTCGGACGAATGCCTTGATGAGGAACTTAATAATACTATTAAACGGTTGCTAAGTGGGAATGCTTATCCTGAAAAGTTTATTGATAAGAATATGAATTAAAAACCATAGCAGTCCAAGGTACTAACAGTTCTGAAAAAGGCCTTAATTCTTACAAATGCAGTTCCTCGGGGACAACATCAGCGAGATACTAACTAACACAGCGCCTTAGAAATGCGGTAAAACAAAGAGCATTCTCTGCTGCTGAATTATGCTGTATCTTCAAAACCACTCCTTTTTTGCGTTCGGAAGTGGAGGACAAACTGTTCAATTTCGCCTCTTCCATGTGTGTGTGTGTGTGTGTATCTACCACTTTAACTGCTCCAGTGAAGCCAAGTACATAGGCCATACAATTAGGTGTGTTTCTCGTCGAATTTCCGAACATCACCCTGCAAAGTGGTTAACCAAAGGACAAACAAAATCCATTCGTAGCGCTATTCTATCTCATCTTGTGGATACAGAACCCAAGATTGACGTTAACCGTGCTTTCAGGGTCATTTACCGCATACCTACGAATCTCAATTTTACCTTAAAAGAGTTCGACTACTTAAATATTGCTGAGGCTGTGGGGATCCATACTAACAGGCCTAATTTTTGCATCCAAAAGAAGTTAGTCCAGACATTATCATTACCCCATTGGCCATCTAGGTTTGAATGATCTTCAATTTTTGTGGAATTTCCCTAATTTTAGTTGATATTCTTCCTATTCGCTGTTATATCTTTATTACTATTATTATAATTAAAGCATCTTCAATGAACTGTAGTTCCATTCTCATCTTACTTTACGAATTGACATTATTTAAAAAAAAAACACTAATATTGTTATTGTCTACTAATCTAGAATATTCTATGAATATAAACATACATAGTATATAATTGTGGAGCCAGAAGAGGAGGAAATTATCGAAAAGGGGGATATTCTTTGCTCCATTGTTTTGTGTCTTAAGCCAGAATTTATTAGGACGGGACAAGTCGCTTTGTTAGCCCACTAAGTCGTGATTTATGCATGTACTGACATGATAAGCCTATTCGGCAGTTTTGATTCATTAATTTTATAAGCTTAGTTTTCTGAGGTCAAACTTCTTCTATTTGAGGTTATGTAAATATAATTTACCGTGTATTTTTTCGAATAAAATAACATTGTCGCCATCGTTCCGATCGTCGTTTGTTTGCTGTTTGACTTTTCTGTCTATATCTCAGTGTAGGAGATAGATACAATTTCAAGTGATCAGTTGCCTGTGTGTAGTGTTGTGTTCTGAAAGTGCATTCTAGCCAAATTGTCAGACAAACCTACAACTTAGTATCACTCTGACACAACAGAAGTTTATCTTCAAATATCTACGGATAAATGTCTCAGGGTATAAACAGAGAGAGAGAAAGAGAGCATTTCCATTCAAAATACCCATTGCGCAAGAAGAACAATATAGTTTCATTGGAAATCAAAAGTCACAAGGAGTGGATGCATCTGCGCCACCCATTGAGAAGGATTTTGAGCCATGTCACCAATTGTTCCCGACCATTGGTTTTTACCGTCCCGAGGACTCCAACCAGCCAGTCAGCAAGTCTACACCTTCCTACATGGCTCGCTTAAACTAGCTGTTGTGGATTTCATGAAATGATGCTAATCCTCGTGTGACCACCAATAGATCTTTTCCAACATGATCTATCCTACGTCAGCTGACACTGGTCCATCGACGTAGGCGATGGCTAGACATAGGTAACACATGTCTTAACCATCTCACTCAGTCGATGTTACTTCAGAGCCCCGTCGATTGATTTCCCCTCCTTACCTAGCACTCGACCGAGGCCTAACCTCAATATTGCTCACCATATTATACCACTTCACAAAGAAGATAGAACGTGGGTACCTATGACCAGAGACACCTAGTCTTTTCATGTATTGCACTCGGAATGGTCAGGTCTGGAGCGGACTGATGAGCATTGCACACGTCCTTTGATTAACAACCAGCCGGATATCACATATACTAAGCCAGAGATGGTGTAAACTGGTATATACGAAACTAGCCCAGCTGTATCCGTGGTGAGATTTCGTCAGAGATCAACCCGTTGGGGACGATGGTACTTCCGAAATAAGTAAAGCGGTCAACACACTCCACCAACAACTTCACTCCTTATTTCTAATCTAAGAATCAATGTAGTCCAGTCCTGTAACATCATCTTACATTTAGCGAGAGCGAATCGTATGCCAAAAATTCGTAGATTGCAGCTCAAGGTGTTCAGAAGACTCTGCTGGATTTTGTCAGCGTCCTCGCCTAGAATGACTATATCATCTGCATATTCTAAGTCAACGATATTATTCCCTGGTAACAAGTCAATCCCTGAGTCCCTGAATCCCTTTGGGAACAGATCACTCACTGGCTCGGGGGTGGGGGTAGTTGACGACTCTCGAACAGGATGAAAAACACGCGTTCTGTATTTCACTAGTAGTTAATCCCCAGCTACCAAGAGTAGTTAGTATTAGGTTAATTAATCTCAAAGCATCGGTAAAGCGTTATATATCATGGACACCGACTTTTTAATACAGCTTCAGTAAAGTACATTTATCAATGACTTGGGGATTGATATTTAGATTTTGGGAGGTTCTGCAGAGGTGTGGATTAAAAGCAGTGTAGGATAAAAACAGTTAT